TGATCTCAGGAATCATGTGCGATTTTATCACGAGGAGCAGCCGACTGTATGCGAAGTCTGTGGGAAGGAAGGCTTGCTCCAACAGTAACTCCCTCTAGACGCATCAGAAGCGATTCCACTACAAGGCGACGTTCGAGTGCTCCGTGTGCAAGCGACGCATGGTCACTCGGGAGAACTTGGAGCAGCACGTGCACTCTCAGCACGGGAGGCGCGAGCGAGCGATCTGCGAGGGCTGCGGCAAGTCCTTTTCGGACAAGGTCATCCTCAGCAGACATCTCGAGTCCGTTCACAACGTTATCGAGTTCCACGCTTGCCAAGTCTGCTGCAAGTCCTTCGGCAGAAACTCACATCTCAGGCAGCATCTTCTTATACACACGGGGAAAAAGGTTTTCGTGTGTGACGTTTGCGGCAAGAGTTTCGCTCAGAAACCCGGACTCATCAGTCATTGGAAGATTCATCCGGGTGTCCTTGCGCCACTGCCTGTCATCAGGCTTGACGAAGTCCTCGATGACTTTGTCAAGAAATAATCGTTAGGCTGCTTCTATTATCAATAAAATGTATACTGGAAGAGCTCCTCTCCTTTCCTTTGAACCAGTCCTGTAATATGATCTTCTTAATAATAAACTCTCGCAAAGACTTTTTGAGAGAGAAATCGGCAAATTAGCCGAATTCAGAATATGCATAAGTCACAGCACGTGGCTATCGCAACTAGCGAATTATAAATCGTAACTTGTCGCCGATTCCCAATACAAGTTCTCGAGACGCATTCGCTAAAATTTCACGAAAACTTTAATAGATTTCACGTAAGTAATTTTGCGGCAGGTCTTATGCTGGAGCGACGTTTCTGCGTAATCCCATCGAGCCACACTAATTGTTAGCTCTTTGTGTTTTAGAATTGACTAATTGACGACAGCTAAAAGCCCTGACTCTCATCACTGCCTAGGATAAAAGAATGTCGACGAAGAAGGAGCCTGCGGAAGAGCTGTCGCGGACGAAGGTACGCGAGAAACCGCGAGCAAGATCAAAGGCAGCAAGGAGGCAGCAAGTGATGGCCGACGGCCGGAGAGGGCAGGGAGGGTCGTGCGAATCGAACAGCAAGAGGAGAGGAGGAAAAATGGGGAAAAATCAGTAAGAAGGAACGAGGGTCTGCCTCATTTGCGATTTCGTCTCTGCAAGAAAGAAGACACTATACACGAAGATTGAGCGTGCTCTACACGCGCAGGAAGCACGCTCACTAGAAATCGATGTTCGAATGCCCGTTGGACATGCGGCTACTCATCAGCTAGGAAAATCTCGATCAGCGTCTGTTGACGCAACACAGGGGGCAGGAGAGACGAATATGGGAAGAATGCGGCAAGACCTTCTTCGAGAATTACTAGGTGCAAAAATACGTGGGGACTCACACGGGCGATAAGCCTAGTGCCTGTTACGTCCACAGCCGAGCATTTGCGCGTCAAAGCAGTCTCAAGCAGCATCTTCTTCTTCACACGGGCGAACGCGTTTACAGCTGCGACGTCTGCGGAAAGTCATTTGCTCAGAATGCTGGACTCATTTGCCATTGGAAGATTCACTCCCGCCTTCTGTCGCTCCAACTTCTCATATGCAGTGATCATATTCTCAAGGACTTGAAAGATTTGATTAAAAATAGAAATTACACTTATTCCCAACACTTCTCTCTTGGTCTAAACGTGCTTCAGACGATGATGAGACTCGTTACCTCTCCCCCCCCCCCCCCCCCCCCCC